GTGTTTATATCTATTGTATCAGGTGTGCAAATATCTATTCAAGTCTCTCCTTCCAACTCTTTTGGGTAGAAATGCAGAAGGGAATTGCTGGATTGTATGGTGATACAGTAATTTTGTGTTTAATTTTTCAAGAAGCTGTCATATTGTTTTCCACAGTGACTGCACTGTTTTACCTTCATTTGCACAATGCAAAAGCATTCCAATTTTTCTACATTCTTGCCAGCACTTGCTGTTTTTGTTTTGTTTTAAATAACAGCCACCCTACTGGATAAGAATTGCTATCTCTTGTGGTTTTGATTTGCACTTCCCTAATGATTAGTGATGTTGAGCATCTTTTCATGTGCTTATTGGCCATTGGTATATCTTCTTTGGAGAAATGTCATTTCCTGTTCATTTCCTTTGCCCATTTCTTAATTAGGTTATTTGCTGCATTGTTGTTGAGCTGTGGGAATTCTTTATACATTCAGGATGTTAACCCCTTTTCAGATGTATAATTTGCAAAGATTTTGTCCCATTCCATGGGCTACTTTATCACTCTTGATGATAATGACTTTTGATACACAAAGGTTTTTAATTTTGACATAGTCCAGTTTATCTGTATTTTCACTTGTTACCTGTGCTTTTGGTGTCATATCCAAGAACTCATGGCTCAATCCAATGTTATGAAGATTTCACCTATGTTTTCTTCTAAGCGTTTTATAGTTTTAGCTCTTACTTATATTTAGGCCTTCAATCCATAGTGAGTTACATGTTGTATTTATTGTAAGATCAGACTCCAACTTTATTTTTCCAGCTGCTAGGAGTGTTGGCTGAAGCTCATAGCTCAGTTCCTCTGCAGAAATTGTCCTTGACAAAAGAGGAAGGCTTCAGTCCAGGTTACAGCCCACCCCTAGTGCTGTCCATTCAGTGACTGGTCACCGGGGGAGCACAAAGGTCTGCCTCCCTCGATCACTGTAGAATAACTCTGAAGTGTCACTACAGCTTTAAAACTCATTATCATTTAAACCCTCCACCCTTCTGCAACTCTTATCTCCTCAGAGGAGATGTTCCCCAGCTCTACACAAATTTAAAAATTTGTTTCCTAGGGAGCCCAACCTAAAACAGTGGTCTAAGTAAACTGAAAAAAAAAAAAATAAATAAGATTTTAAAGTAGCTGTTCCAGTTATTCATTTATTGCCTTGCAGCTCCAAATCTACCTTCATTGTCTGCTCTGTCATAAGGGAGTTGGGTCCTGTAAGTCTCCCCCTTTGCCAACAGGCCCAATGTTAAGCTTTGTTAGTACAGGGCACTGGAGGGACACTGGAGGAAAAGGGGGTTCTCTTCGTGTTCCACTGTGCTCAGCTGGGCCAGCTCTTGCAGTGCAGGTAACTTCTCCCAGCAGCGTGCAGCAGCCCTGGTGCCCGGAAGCTCCCACCCATATGCCTCGGGCAGCTTCCTGGTGGATTGCTACCAGTGCGGCCCCTCCCTGTGAAGCTTCTCTGGCAGTTTGCAGTGAGTTCTGAAGTATAACAATTCCCTGTGGACAGGTCTCCCCAGTGCCCCCAGAAGCCATATTTCTAGTAAGTTCTGCCAACCCAGCATTTCATGAAATTCTTTGCCGTCCAGTGATCCACAGCCTTTTTCAGCAGGGTCTGGATCTCAGGACTGGAGGTGCTGCTTCCTAGAAGGCACGCTATCTCGGCCTTCAGGATAGTGCTGCTCCTTGTGCTGGGTATTGCTGAATTCTTTAGTCTTCTTTGTGCGTGCTGTGCTAAATTGCTTCAGTCGTGTCTGACTCTTTCTGACCCCATGGACTGTAGCCCGCTCAGCTCCCCTGTCCATGGGATTCTCCAGGCAAGAATACTGGAGTGGGTTGCCATGCCCTCCTCCAGGAGGCCTTCCTGATCCAGGGATTAAACCCACGCTCCGCACTGACAGATGGGTTCTTTACCACTAGCGCCACCTTACTTTCTTACTATTCATTTTCTCATTACTCTAATTCTCTGAAGTGAAGTGGAGTGAAAGTCACTCAGTTGTGTCCTACTCTTTGCGACCCCATGGACTGCAGTCTATGAAATTCTCCAGGCCAGAATACTGGAGTGGGTAGCCTTTCCCTTCTCCAGGGCATCTTCCCAGCCCAGGGATCAAACCCAGGTCTCCTGCATTGCAGGCAGATTCTTTACCAACTGAGCTAATTCTCTGATACAGTTAATAATTCCTGATGTTAAAATTTCCCTATTCAATATGAGATTTCTATCTCCCAATTTGACTCTGAATGATATAGTCAGTTATTAAACAATATGCTCAGTTAGTTGGCAGGGAAAATCAAACTCCTACATGCAGATAAAAAATAAAACTTAAAAGAATCTGTGCTCAAGACAGAATTAAGAATGTTTTTATTTTCTTTTGTTGATTTTTTTTTTACTGTCCAGTTACTTTTATAAGCAAGACATATTTTAGAAGAGAAAAGAAATACCGTGCTATTTTGTAATGTCTTTGATACACATGAAATACTTAACCAAATAAATTTAATTGGCCTTGTATTATAAAGCTTTTCAACTCAAAGGATAGTCCTTGGATCAGTAGCATCAACCTCACCTGGGAGCTTGTTGCAAAATGCAGAATCTGTAGGCCCTCCTCAGACCTACTATATCAAATTCTATATTTCAACAATACCCCCAGGTGATGTATATGCATATTTAAGACATAAAGTTTGAGAAACCCTGCTACAATGTGCAACTTAACTTATAACCTATGAAAAAAATAATCTAGTTCTCTCAGGGGAGCTACCAGTTTCTAGGGAATTTGTTGCATAGAAATGGATAGCCCAATACTCATTTTTAAACAACAGTGTTCAAATATTCATGAATTTTTCACCATCTATCTCTCAAGCACTGAGGCGATCCTTTGAAGTCTTCTGTGATTTAAGCCTTCTGTGATTATACAGATGTTATTTATTGATGGATAATTTAGTTTTTTAACACACTGGCTTCCTCAGAAAGCAGAGCCAGAAGCAGTGGCTTTTGCACTATTATTTATTTAATTTTTAAAATTTCAATATTTATTTATTTGGCTGCTCCAAGTCTTAGTTGTGGCACTCAGGATCTTCAATCTTCATTGCAGCATTGAGGATCTTTTTTACTTTCTGCATGTGGGATCTAGTTCCCTGACCATGATGAAACCCAGGCCCCCTGCATTGGGAGCATGGAGTCATAGCCACTAGACCACCAGGGAAGTCCTTGCACTATTATTTTATTAGGACATACAGTCCAGGTGGATGAGAGTAGGATAAGAAACCAAAGCAGGAAGAAGGGAGAGCTAATATGGAGGCAATATGATGCTGACTACTGGTGACAGCAACTAGCTTAAGTATGAGAATATGCCCCCAGGACACAGTGGTACCCCTTCTCAGGAACATCCAGGCAGTCCACTGGTGCATGCTTGCCACATCTCCCAAACTTTGCGTTACACATACATGTGGGGGTGTGAGTATCTGAAGATGTCCCATAGTAGAGGTGACAGGGAAGTCCTAAATAGCTGAGAAGTGGATAGGACAGGCAGGAACCAGGAGCTGGTCAGACTGCACCAGTCTAAAGTTGTGCAGAGCTCATAGAAAGCTGGTCACTAACCATAGCTGCAGCTGAAATTAGGGATATAATTGATAGGTGAGATTGAGAGGGTCCAAAGGGGTGAGGGAGAGGTGTCTGATCCAGAACATACTTAGAAGAATATTTCAAAGAAAGACATAATTTGTTTATGACTTGAAAGGTCAGTATCTACAACTGTGCAGTTTCTCAAATAACTGAGTAACATTTCTTCTACTTACATTTAAGAATGTGTCAGGGATGCTCGCAGAGTGAATCTTGTTGAGATAAGTGAACTACACACAAAAATTACAAGGACAAATGATGAAATGGAGTTTCTGAAGAAGAAAATACTCCATCTGCAAACAGATAACACAGCTCTAGGGTAGGTATTTTTGTTTGTGTGTGTGTGTGTGTTTGAAGGAGTCAGGGTCTGGGGATAAAGTGGGAAATTTTTCTTAAGAGATTTGTCCTCTGGTCTGATCTTCCCTGTAGCTCAGTCGATAAAGAATCTGCCTGCAAGGCAGGAGACCCAGATTCAATTCCTGGGTCAGGAAGATCTTCTGAAGAAGGAAATGGCAACCCACTCCAGTATTCTTGCCTTGGAAAATCCCAATGGACAGAGGAGCCTGGCAGGCTAGAGTCCATGGGGTCACACAGAATTGGACACAAATTATCGACTGAACCACCTCTGAACTGGTGCAGGGAAAGTTAAGAGGTGGAGATAGCTTGTAGAAGATAACTGGGCTGATGAGGGTTGTTTGATAGCTGCAGAGAGCTGAGAAGAGAGCAGAAAATCTTCTACCACCATAGCCAGAAGACTGTAGGATTTCAGAGGGAATTCAGCTTCCCACAGCAGCTACACACAACTTACTGTGTGTAGGTCACACACTGCCTCACACCCCACCTCCAAAGGTAGAAACACAGTGACTTTCATTTCCTTTTTAGTAAAATTAAGTTTACAAACCTCAACCACCAAAGCAAGAAATCTTGCTGGGTATTGTGTTGCAAGTATAATATCAAACCAGGTATACTGTAGCTAGATTAGTTCTTTAAAGACATTCAGGTATAGTCTACTGGAGGGCTGAGGATGGGATTGGTCCTAGATATTTATTACCTGCAATTAAATGGAAGCTGATACCTGTTAGTTTCATTTGTTTATTCTTTAGCTGTGTTATTAGCACTCCCCTCTCTTGTGGGCCTCATTTTTCCATCTGTAAAATGGAGATTACAAATCTTGACTTACCCAGTCCATGGAGGAAGAAATATTCTGAAAGAAAAAACAGTAAAATCCTGAAGAATATCTCAGCTCTATGAGTAAATTTGCAAGAGTGATGTATAAATGTCAGACTTCCAGTTTGTGAGAGTGAGAAATACTCAAAGTACCCTCATTATAGTGAAAAAAATCTTTTTTGGGAAGGCAAATTCAGAAGGTTGCTTTGGTGCAAAAGATATCAAAGCATCAGGAATTAGGTGGGATCTCAAGGCCCAGGGACAGTTTCCTCGAAACACCTATTTTGGAAGATGCTCCATGAAAAAGAAAGGTCATGATCACATAAGTCTGCGAAAGACTGTATACATGAACCCTTCTTGGAGATTCACAATGCATATTTATGCATGGTGCATGCTAGCCACAATCATCAGAGACCACAGACTATCAATTTCTAAACTACTGACAAGGAAACTAACGTCCAGGCTGGAATACTCATATCAATTGGCCAGTACCATCACACCCCTATGGACCAAACTTGAGTGTACATTAGCATCACCTGGAATGCTTATTAAAACACAAGTTACTGGGACCTCCACCGCGGATTTCTGATGCAGTAGGTCTAGGGAATGGGGGCAAGAATTTCCATTTTTAACAAGTTCCTAGATGCTGCTGCTGGTCCTGACCACACTTTGAGAATCACTGCCCTAGAGAAATCTTCATGGAAAGTCAAATTACAAGTGAACATAATGTGGGTTGCCTGATGAGCCAGCATCACCAAGCTACAGTCAATTATTGCATCCTTTTTTTGAAGAAAGATGTACATCAAGATATGCACACTCTCTGACAGGCTGGTCCTCCCCTGGACAGTCCTCAAAAACTGGGCACATGCAAGCTCTTCAGGGGTGGGAGAAGGGGATTTCCTCAGGTCTGGAGAATTTGGGAGACCAACCCAGCTCAATATACCTAGTCAGGTGTATTGATTTGATATGTTTTGCTTTGCTTCCTTAAGGCTACTCAATCCTTAGTTTGCTTCATTCTTAGCAGGCTTCCTCTACTAAACCTACAAAATACCCATTATTTGACACCATTTAGCCTGGGATTCTTTCAATTGCCTTTCTGTGGTAGAGTTAACTTCTGGAAAATAAATTTACCAACAACCTGTTTCCATTTGCCTAAGCCTTTGCTCACAATCCCCCTGAACTTAAGTGTTTAGCTTTGGAGATTAGAAGAAAGTCTTTACGTTGCAGGAGATTTGAAAAAAGGAAAATAGAGAAATGGCATTACTGTTCTTCCTCCAAATCTTTTATTGTCATTCCTGGGGCAGATGTTTCTCACAATCTTAGGGTCTTCTTCAGGTGGGAGTGGCCAGCAATGAATAGGTAAGGTTAACCTCTCCTCTTGAACTCAGATTTGGCTATGGCTATGAGACGATAGGACTTCCCAGGTGACTCAGTGGTAAAGAATTCGTCTGAGACGCAGAAGAAGCAGGAGATGCCATAGGTTTGATCCTTGAGTCAGGAAGATCCCCTGGAGGAGGGCATGACAACCTACTCCAGTGTTCTTGCCTTGGAGAATCCCCTGGACAGAGGAGCCTGGCAGGCTACGGTCCATAGGGTCACACAGAGGCGAACACGACTGAAGCGACTGAGTACACACGAATGTGAGGAGTTAAGAGAGTTTAAATTAGATTTTAAGCACCCTCTGAACCGTGAAGACAGACTCAGATCCCTCTTCCCCAATTCCTGTCCTTCAGAGGGGGATTAGGTTTCTCCTAGACATTCTATGCAGGGCAATGGCATCAGAAGGTGACTAGAAGAGTGGTGGGATGTTTATCTATCTTTGGCTTAACTATGTATCTCACAATGATAAGGTAGTTATGGCAAAGTTACATATCAAACCTTTCATCCAGCGAGATTCCACTTGCCTGTTCAAAACAGTTTTGAATCATTGTAAGGTTTAAACCAAAATATCCCATAGTAACTACCTGGTATATGAAGATGGCTGGGGTAAGGCAGGACCCCAAGACAGTTTGGCAGTGATAAACAGTTGCAAGATGGATACTGTGTTTCCTTCTGTCCTTCATCTCAACCAAGTTTAGGCCATTACAAATACAACTCTAAAATAAGTATCCCTTAAGTTTCCCTCTTTATGGTGGTTCATCTCATCAAACAGACTTTAAATTTCTTTCTGGAAAAAGCCATTCTTTTTATTCCAAGAAGGGTTCTTTTTCTCTAGTGAAAGGCAAGAAGAGCTAGCGAAGCATTATGGAAAGGTTGTCCTGTCACTCAACCATGCAATGAAAGAAAAAGCCACTATCACTGTTTACATCAATGAGACTTATACCAAAATTAACTCAGAGAAGAAAGAACTAGAATTGCAAAAAACATATATTCAAGAAATAGAGGAGCAAATAGAAAGAGAAAGAGCAGAATATTTGAAGAAAAAAGAAAAATTGAATCAAGAGGTAAGTGGAATGATTTTTTTAAAAATAGAGAATTGTACAGAATTGAAGCCGGATACGAGAAATAACATATTTGCCCTTGAAGATAGCAAGCGTTCCCATGGTATCTTCGGCAGGAATAGAGCAGAGGCTCCAGGACACTGGAGCCCATGGGGGAGATGTTTGATTTGTACCACCATCTCGGTTCATGGGAAAGAACGCGAGTGATAATGATGGCAACACTGGGGTGGCCCTTGCTTATATGCAGCCCTATGGGAAGTAGGGGTTTGCTTCTGTGTCATTTGGTTGTCTGACAGTTCTGAGGCTCTGTTTCTGTAGTAGGATCAGTGAGTTCAGCTCTGCTGGAACTGATGCAGAAACTTGGCCTCTATGTACTATCACCGAATTGAATCTTGGAAACAGAGTTTTGGGTGAAGTAGAAAAGAATAGCTTTATTGCATGGCCACAAAAGGTAACCACAGTGGGCTAATGTCCTCAAAATTATGTATCCTAAGCCAGTGAGGAGGGAGTCTTATAGTCAAGGGAAGGATTGCAGGCAAGGATCAGGGTGCACACAGGGGTCTGCATTCCTTCAATCCAGAGGTCATCTGGCCTGGCATCAGATGGTCTTGTGATGGCTTCTGTGATTCTCAAGGTTATTGAACTGTGACCTTCTCTCTGAAATGAAAAATGCTTCAACAAGTAGTTAATTAACATCTTTACTTGATGAGGACTCTAGTTCTGAGTAAGAGCTCAAAGATATTGTTATGTTTATCCCTTGAGGAGTAATCACATTCTTGCCTCAAGGCTGCACTATTGTTTCCTGACTGCTCCTCCCTTGTTTCTGCATCTCCTCCCTTCCTTGATACAGCAACTGTTTGAACTGCCCTTTGGAACCCAGGGAAAGTCACGGAAGCTGTTGAGTTCAGTTCAGTCACTTACTCCTGTCCAACTCTTTGTGACCCCAGGTACTGTGGCACACCAGGCTTCCCTGTCCATCACCAACTCCCAGAACTTGCTCAAACTCATGTCCATCGAGTCGGTGATGTCATCCAAACATATTCTCTTCCCATTCTTCTCCTGCCTTCAATCATTCCTAGCATCAGGGTCTTCTAGTGAGTCAGTTCTTCCCATCAAGTGGCCAAAGGATTGGAGCTTCAGCTTCAGCATCAGTTCAGTTCAGTCGCTCAGTCATGTCCTACTCTTTGCGACCCCATGGACTGCAGCCTGCCAGGCCTCCCTGTCCATCATCAACTCCCAGGGTTTACTCAAACTCATGTCCATTGAGTTGGTGATGCCATCCAACCATCTCATCCTCTGTGGCCCCCTTCTCCTCCCACCTTCAATCTTTCCCAGCATCAGGGTCTTTTCAAATGAGTCAGTTCTTTGCATCAGGTGGCCAAAAAGTATTGCAGCTTCAGCTCTAGCATCAGTCCTTCCAGTGGATATACAGGACTGATTTCCTTTAGGATGGACTAGTTGGATCTCCTTGCTGTCCAAGGGACTCTCAAGAGTCTTCAACACCACAGTTCAAAAGCAT